AGCACGGCAGTATAGCCCGTTTCATATTAATTTTCCTCCTGATATGTGCACGGGATAGGGAATTACATACAACAAAAGTGGAAAAATAATTTGAAACGGGCTCCGGGATGATCCAAATTTTAATCTATGATGAAGAAACACGTTTGACGGTGCTTTAATTTTTACCTCAACTATTAACCCCTTGGATTTCTCCCTGCCGCGGACAGAACAAAACAGAGACAAAGCTGAGAATCCCTGCAGTTTACATCACTTGTAAATCTGAGTGAACTTTCACTGGGAACCGTCGTAAGGTTCGGGGTGGGGGTGGAATTGTTGTGCGTGGGAGGCTCCCTGATTTTCATACGCAAACATTTACTCATTAAGCGGAATCTGCATTCTGACCATCTATCCGATCCCCCTCCCGAATTTCGCTCCAACTATTGCTCATTGCTCAAGCGAGGAGTAATCTGAAACGAGGCAGGAGCAGCCTGATTCACGTGCAATTGGGTTTTTGGCCCCTGCTTCTCGGGTCTCGGCTCGGGTAAACAATGGTCGGGCTCTGATTTGGGCGACAGTGCTGCTATCTTACAGCACGGCAGATCAATACTAGTCAGGAACTGAAGGATCTTTGCAAGAGAAATAATGTTGCCTAGAAGTAATGAAACCTGAGAGAGAAGGGGTTAAACGAATAATATAAAAATCAAGAAAATAACAGGACTTGCGCTTGCGTGAAGACTTGCGCTTGCGTAAAGACTTGCGAGGCGGAACCCCACGCCTTAAAATAATCCAAGCTTTGTGTTTTAGCTAAAAACTAATGTATATTACGCCCAGAAAATCTGAAATTTTCCAATCATGAAAATGCACCATTTAATTGACGAATTGAATATGAAATACATCGCACTAGGAGACTTTCAGTTTTTTTAAGGCTTTAGGCAAATAGATTTTTTTGGGGAAAAAGAAAGAAAGAAATAGCTAAAGTTTATCATCAGCGTTATTAATCCGTTTCCTGCCAAAAATTTAAAGTGAAACCAGTATATTAGCGAAATTTTAAAGATGCTTATAAATGTTTGTTTACTTCCGGTGTAGATACATCTTGGAGCGAATTTCATTTAGAGCTCCGAACCTTCTTGGAAGGTTTTGTCCGGTTCCGTCTCATCAATTGTCAACAGTACTGAACATTCTTTGTCAACAAAGTCGGCCAATCTGACCCTTTAGTCTTTGATAGATCAAACCAATCTTAGAACTATCTCGCGAGGTGATACCAAAATTACGCAGCAACTTTCTTCAACTTTCAAAAATAAAAGCCATTCTACGACAGCTGGGAGGTTCGGGCGCAAATGTAGTTCCGAACCTCAAAAAAAAAATTCGCTTTTAAGATACCTGTTCCCGTGCAGGGTTAGATACTACTTGCGTCTCATCTTTTCCTTTCGACCTTGCACGGCTACTTGCTGCCTTGCTGCTACGTCACACCTCGGCGGTAGCTTTCAAAGTTGACAACGTGAGCCTCCGTCTTCGTCGTCGTTGTCGCGCGAACTCGCGTCTGAGGAAACGCCTGTTGAGAGATCTATTGTAAAATGAGCCAACACTTGAGCCTGCCCCTGCTCCGGCTCATCCGTTCCACCTGACAAGTGCTAATCCCAAGTTGGCTTTTGAGTCTCCCTCTCCTTTTGCTCGTCTTTTTCATGACCCCCCCCCCCCCCCCCCCCCCCCCNTACCCCGGTGGGGCCTGATTCTTTGACTTTGACCCGAGCGGCACGGCGCGGATATTGCAGCGAGCTTTTTGTCATGCCGACTCTTTCTTCCACCCGACGAGGCGGAGTGCTAATAAAAGGATCCGTTTCTTGCAGAGAGGCGTAATATCGTTTTGGTGTGCTTAGGAAGAACGCCGTATGAGCAGTCCGATGTTGCCGAATTCCTCATGACGAAATATTCTCATCATTTTGTCACTCCTCGTATGTGAGGGCGTAGCTCTAAGTTTCCACAAGAGCCTCGGAAAGCATAGAATTATACGAAGAACAGAGCTCACGTAGAAATGCAGATAGGTACGCCCTTATTTCAGACGAGCGATTCGAGAAAATAAACTGCGAAAGCGGGGAGACTTACTCAATAGCAAAGAAATATTAAAATATGGATAAAAACTAAAGTTCAGACATGAAAAAATTTGTTTTTAAGGGAGGATTATTTTTTCGTCTCATAATTTGTTTTAATTTCAATAATATAATGAAAGAATTAAATTTTTTGTGCTTGCATTGTATAACGAGAGCTCAGAGCAACCGTAAGAAAAAGATTTCAAAGAGATTGATATGATTTTAACATACCGCCGGGAAAAAAACAGGAATCAGGCAACATAAAGAACATTTTGGTGCTTCTTTAGATGAATACTTTTAAGTTTGAAAGGGGTTTGATGCTGAATGCTATCTTGTGCGCGCTGCACGACCACACAGAAAATTAAAAGAGAGACAGGAAATATGATCTTTGAAAAAAACAGCCTCGAACAGAGTGTAAACCTTGATTATCAACATGTTGTAACCTTTCGGGGGTTCAATATCTGCGTCTAATCTCGTATCTCAAAATTTTCGATAGTCAGAGTGTTGGCAGAGTGGTAGGGGCAAAAAACCGAATTGGAACTAAAGAGTGTCTCCTTTTTTCCCTCCTACATAAAGCCTAAAAAATGTCACGCGCAATAACGGCCCACATGGTCAAGGTAACGATTGCCGACAAAAAATAAGCCATTCCTGAAACCTTCTCTCAAGGCTGATCATTACTTGGTCATCGTGGCCTCCTCAATTTGAAGAGTATTATTCTTACGGCGAGCGATCATAACTTCGGTCCAAGACTGATGGCCCGCCACTGAGAAAGGGAAGTGAATGGTCTACGTGACAGGAGTTGGCAGTGTTGCCGATTAATCTCTCATTTTACGTTGCCCGATGGACTCATTTATTTGTGCGTTATGAAACTCAGCTTCGGCCGCTTACGTTATCGATGGCAGTCGAAGTCGAGTTGAAATTGGAATAGCTAAAAATGAGAAAACTCAAACTTTCCTTGCGTTATTTATTGTCTGAAAGACGTTTGGGCGGGAGGGAGGGAAGCGTCGCAGTCGTGCAAAAAGTCATACGGACAATGAATGACTAAGGAAATTTTAAGCTTTCTAATTTTTTACTATCATTTGGACTAGGTCAGAGTATAATCTTAGAAATGGATTTTTGAAAGGGATTACAATGATTTGCCACTATGAAGAGTGCCAAACACGCAAGAAAATATATGACGAGTTTTTGTTTTTAAATGTTAAGGCAGGTTCGAATTTACGTTAAATTTGTCAAAATTGAATAATTTTTTCGTCTATATTTTGTACTTTTTGCAGTGGAAAATCATTGTAATCCCATTCAAGGAACCCGTACCTTGAGTTATACTGCTGAATTTTACTCTTCATCTGGAAAATTTTTTTTTTTTTCACTGATGTTATTTTGAATGTTCCCTTAAATCTCCCTTAATTACAATGTAAACGAAATGAGGCCTCTTACGGAAAATATCCGTTTGCAGAACAACAATAAATAAGACCCAAAGTGTGCAGCAGTCATCGTGCGTTAGATTCCGCATTAAACCGAGCAGAATCCCAAGAGACAAACGAAGTGCAACGCCGGGAAGGAGAAGGACATTACTCTATTTTTCATTTCGCATCACCGCTTAAGGTAGATTAAAGCCACAACTGTCGCCACAAGCCCCTTCACCTTCGTTTCAAACTCGCATCCCCCCCCCCCACCACTCGGGGCGACCCTTAAGAATTTCCACTACAGCTGTGTCCCCCTCTATCGTGCTAAGGAAAAACGCCGTATGATCATTCGAGAGTTGCCAAATTCCCCTTGATAAAACATGTATTTTTGACAACATTCCCGCACTTTTTACATTGAAAGTTTCAGATATTTTAGATAAAATTGCGTATAAAATTGTCTGAAAATTTTGGAAAAAATATTCACAATTTTTCTTGGTTATTTCGGTTTTTATCGAAGGTAACTTTGCAACGTCTGAAGGTTCGTACGGCGTTTTTCCTTAGCCCTGACTACAGCGTGGCGGATCTCCGCCCAAGGCTTCGCTACGACACGATACGAACCGACGCGACGCGAAGGGCCTATCATCCTCCTACCTTACAAATAAACTCTGAGATCTCCCACTAACCACATCTTGATCTTGAGTCTTTCAGTCGCCATAAAACTGAATTGAACCTGAACGGAGCTCGTGATCGGTTAAAATGTCAACGGACCCCCTTCATTTTCGGAAGCACACTGCGAAATACCAATAGCAAGCGTCAAAAAATGTGAACCTCCATTCCAAAGTTGCAAAATCTACGATTATGGTTTATTTATTTAAAGGTAAACTAACTGTAAAAAATTGTTTCAGGCTTGCACTAAATTTTGCTTCCTCTTTTTCTTAACAAATTTTATTTGAAAATGACGTGACTATAGTATAAAAAGAAAATTCTAAGAATATTCGAAGCAAAATTGTTGATCACTTCATTTTTTAAGAAATATAATGTAGGCAGAAATTTGCAGCTTGTTCATCGAAGATACCCAATTTTTTACTTTAGCCATCGATATTCCACCAGCTGCAATTGTTTTATTAGTTTGTTCGGAGAACAGTGCGTTGCATGAGTTGTGTCGACTTTTGGAGAAGCAAAAAACAAAAGGGCAAGAGAGCGGATTTTTTCCGATTTTGAGATTTTTGCGATGATTAAACTTGTATTGGAAAAGAGACGTTGATCAAGTACCTTGGGAATTTCATACTTCGATTTTGTCGATGAAAACATTAAAAATGAATCAATTGTATCTGCTCGTGCAAAAAATTCCGATATCCAATATACATTTTTTTTTCAGAATTACCTTTCTTTTGCCTTTATAGTACTGACTAACGATTTCAATGCTGAGGTTGGTTCCGAACTTTAAACTAGTCCTTTTTAATACTTCTTCTATTCTTCTGTAAAGTTGGAAATAAATAATGTTACTTGGAGGCTAGATAAAGTGACTTACCTGTAAATGCCTTATGTGATCCACGCTGAAGCGATCATCACTACTATAAGTGGCTAATCCCACCGTCAGTAAGTTTAAGTCCCTTCGTCTTATCCATGACACCTGTGAACAGAATAGTGTATTTTAAGAACCAATTTCTTGTGAAAACAAATAAAAAAAAATCAAAAACATTATCATTTACGCAAAACTATGTGAATTAATAAATGAATAATTAAGTAGTTAAGGAGTTTTAACACACAAAAATTGAAGAGCGCACCGATATTGAAGTCTAAATTGGCTGAGAGAACATGGATTTTGAGATTGAACGGGCAGAAAACAGATATCTCGATTGTAAAGTTGAATAATTTCGGACAGAGCCATTTAGGCCACTTCCACCATCTTTGACTTTTGAATTTTCTAAACAAATCGAAAATTCGGTCTTAATTTCAAAAAGTACCCCCCCCCCCCGGCACCAAGTCTCACAATAATCGATCGAACAGGAGCTGAGATAGATTTTAGGCTATAAATACGTCCACTACCTTGGCTTTTTGAATTTTCAAAATTTGAGATGAAATTCAAGTTGACCCTCAAATGATGTCATCTAGTACCACGTTTCACAAAAATCAATCGAATAGTAGCTGCACATCGTTGAATCAGTAGAACTCTACATAGCGGTAAACAATACCAGTCTATTTACATACTGTAGCGCGCCTTCAACTTCGTTTGATACTGTGCAACACCTCTGAGGCGGAATAGTTGCTCACAGCGCCTTCAACAGTCTCGCTTCGACTTGATGGCAGAGGATCAAGCGTGTCGCTATTTCACTCTAGCGCGAGCGCATGCAGTTACACATTTTCTCATCACTTAAGGGAAAAACATCCATACCTTAATTTGCGACGTTGCAAGTTTTTCACTACCTATTTTGTGTAAATAAACCATCTCTAACACTTTCAAATCAGTCGTGATTTTTCCGTGATGCAATGAAGAATATTATTTCAATGTTTCATTTAAGTCTATTTATATGCTTTCGTGAAGAGGAGAAAAAGGAATATAAAATAGTCCTCTTCGAGCGAACTAAAACGGATCCATGATTTATAAAGCCCACGAAATAAACGGACGAGTCAAAAAAGCGCCAAAACAAACTGACTGATGATCAATGTCGTTATTAACTCGCCTTTGCACTTTTGTTTCTATGTTGTAAAGATTATGAGCATCGATTATGATCCTCCAAATGATTAAATGACAAAAAAAGAAAGGAATAATATATAAATGTATAAATAAAGAAAATAATAGATAAAGAAATCAATCAATTAATCAATTCATCGATCAATCCAAAAAAGAAAAAAAAATCTTTTCGTGAAGAGGAGAAAAAGGAATATAAATAGTCCTCTTCGAGCGAACTAAAACGGATCCATGATTTATGAAGCCCACGAAATAAACGGACGAGTCAAAAAAGCGCCAGAACAAACTGACTGATAATCAATGTAACTAGCCTTTGCACTTTTGTTTCTATGTTGTAAAGATTATGAGCATCGATTATCATCCTCCAAATGATTAAATGACAAAAAAAGAAAGGAATAATAAATATAAATAAATAAATAAATAAATAAATGAATAAATAAGGAAATCAATCAATCAATCAAAAAAAAAAAAAAAAAAAAAAAAAAAAAAAAAAAAAAAAAAAATATTTCATGGAAAACAGGAGATATTTGCTACCGAATTCCTTATCAGCACTAGACCGTGAATTTCCACAAAACTTCTTTCTCGTACATACCGCGCTTCTCAGAAATACGACAGTATCCCCCACGCGCTATTGGGTGGAAAGCTCCTTTTTGCGGCGACCGCGAGGACACAAGCCCAAAATAAGAGGAGGAAAAACGGAAAGAGGCAGAAGCTCGAGGGTATTTAATTGGACAGGGCAAAACAAGCGACTGTGCTTAATTGATAGACATGAGAAGCTCTCTCGATTGCCGGCCGGGAGCGAAAATTCACCCTCCGCTGGTTCCACACATTGTTCATGGGCGATCGTATCAGTATAATTGGCAACCCTGGTAGCCACTCACGGGACCAGAGCCTAGAGATCAGTTGAGCTTGAGGTTGCGATCACAAGATAAAGGATATTTGTGATGTTTTCCGCCCTTCGAGAGGTTTACGATGACTCCCCTGTTGCCGCACGCATTGTCTCACGAGGGCGTTTGCAACCCTTACGGGAAAATTTCCTGATCTTGCCAAATTCTAATGGACTGAAAAGTCATGAATTTTTCATCTCTTGCAGGTTCTTTTGGCCAAAATGATTAAAATTCCTTGGACTGTCCAATGTTCTTTTTGATTAAAATGGAAACACTTTGTAGGTATTCCGGAGTATTCCGGAGTATTCTCAAACCAAGATGATGAACATTTTCTCAAATACGTCGGTTTCCTCGATTGGAAATTACTTAAACTCCTGGGCTATTCCAGATTCTCTTTGGCCAAAATCACAATGATTTTCTGACTTATTTGCCAGGACCTACTTATATAAAATCGGAATGACAAATATTTCCTGACCATACCAGGTTCTCCATGACCAAGAAAATGGCAGAACTCCCTAGCCTCACTCTATGGATTTATTAAGGGTCTACGTCATCGATTTATCGCCATTCATTTTCCCACATTTTAAAGGACGACAAAAACGATGTATATAGTAAGCTGAACAGTTCATTTGCTGTGGGAGGAAAAAACCATCGAATATCATTACCATAAGCTCTCTGACCCCAAAATTCTTCATTTTTTATCTCAAGTTTGTTGCATTTTTCTACTGGACCAATTTCAATGATTACGACTATCGACAGGAGAAGTCGATGAATGGGCTCGGTTTATTCAATTTTTGGAAACTTTTACCATGTTTTGGTATATTGCGAGTTAAAGCCATAAATTCTCCCATTTAAATAATGTAAAAGCCTATTTGTCGTCACAGTTCGTTCTAAAAATCTACCGGGTTGAGTTTCATGATTTTTGCGACTAACGATAGTAGATGAACCCCAAATGAGCTTGCTTTATCTAGATTAATGTACTGGAGCCCGCGGAGCAAGCCTTTGACGGGACGAAGCGCCATCTGGGGGTTGGGCTGAGTAGAGTCCCTTTACACTGAGAGTCAAGACAACACCCCCTCATGGAGTCTAAAACGGGAATAAAGATTACATAAATTGAACTTTTTCATAATCTTTGATTGGCTCATTCTCGAATTCCTTTCTCCGTCCCTTCTCTCATTCCGTTTGTTCCTTGTCGATCCCGTAATTCCTCGGTCCATTCCAGATTATAATCTTTGCGATTGGTGAAACTGTAATCTTTATTCCCGTTTGTGACACTGTGGAGGCCTAAAATACGGTGAACAATCAGAAATGGATTCACACCGTCTTAACTCTCTGTATGAAGGGACTCTAAGCCCGAGAAGCGGACCTTAGGTAGGACGAAGCGCCATCTAGGGGTTGGGCTGAGTAGCGGCCAGAAGGCGTAGCCTCGTAGTGTTGAACATCAAAAGACGCAGTCACTGAATCAGTCTATTATATTGCTCAGATTAGCAAAGCGGGATCCCTCTGTCTCCGATTCTAAGCGCAGCGATTTCTTTCCCGTGGAGCTCCAGACGCGAATCCGCGGAGCAACTGGCCCGTTCAATAATCGCCGATCGCACAGCGCGACATCAGCGGGGGCGTTTCCTAATTTTATTATCGCCGTTTTTTTTATCAAAAAAGCTGAAAGTTTACGGCGACCGCCGAGCTGGGCGCCCGTCGAAGCGTGAGAATTCCATCAGGGCGAAGTCGCAAAGAAACCGGGAGCGAGAATTAGTTGGCCGGCAATTAGCCGCTCCGGTTCCAGTTCTAGTCGTTCCAGTCCGTCTCGTTTTTCGGACTCGTTTTCCTTGCCCTGTTCCCCGTTCCCCTTGCCCCGTTCCCTTTGTCGAGACGCTCCTTTGATCTTGACGTTGATTGTTAGTCCGAGGCGGGGGCGACCCGGTATCGGGGTAATTTTGTCACCGGCCTCGCAAAAGCGCGCAAATGCTCCTCGAGGTGAGCGATATCTTCCGTAAGACTCTGCGTTTTCCGTATCTCGTTTTGAGGAAAGGTTAGGTCCTTTTTTGAGAAGGAGCCCGGATCTTGTTCCGGCCACCGACGCGACGGATGGGTTGACTTTGAAGTCACGTTTGTTTCGCTGCCCGACCCGCGTCGCGTCACCCCCCAGGTAAACTTTCGGTGAAGAGGGTCGCTTCCCCGTGATCTCTCGTTCCGCTCGGAAGGGCAGATCTTTTTTTTTTTTTTAAAAAGAAATAAATCGAAATAAACAATGTTTTGACGAGGAAAGGGTGTTTTTCTTTATTTTATTGATTGGTATATCTAGATTCGATAATTTCTCGCGTCAAAACATGCCGTTTCAATGGGCCCGTTCAAATCGGGCTTTTTTGACGTTTTACGTCGTAAGGAGTTTACTAAGTGACTGTTCTTGGTAAATGGATAACATTTTGTACTGAGAAATCACTATTTCTTAATCATCCGTAAAAGGACCTATCTGCATAGGAAAACTAATAGAACATTGTTGTTTCTGAAATTAGGCAAAAATATTATAGTCCCGTACTGCAAAATGCAAACTAATCTCGATAGAAATAATTTTTGTTCTAAAAAGCATTTCAGAGCAGATTTTTACACCCGGCCGCAATCGAATGAATAGTGCGCACTCACTCTGGGTAGTCCGCCTTCAACGCCGAGATTAGGCAATATAAGCGGCTTTGGAGCAGCAATAGTTGCTTGTCGGAGATTGGCCACTTTCATTCGGTTTGTTTCACAGTTCGTTTTTTTATCACAAGTCGTCCTTGCTGGCCGCGGTGGGTCGGCGTTGCAGAGCTTTCCCCTCTATCGAGATCTGAAAGCACGCTGCATCGCGCATTTCGGTGCACCCTTGCTAGCTAGCGCATTATGAAAATTCTAAAAAAGAAATGTTTTGTTGTACGACTGTCCGCTCCCTATCCCCGCTCCGACGTAAATTTCCTTTGTGCATCCCGTCCATTTATTTTCATCCCTAAGCCGATAATATCAGAGCGCTCCTGATTAGCGTAGCAGGGATTAACCTTTGCGACCGGCAGAGAAAAGAATCAA